TGCTAGTAAAGATAAAGTCCCTTCCCCTGCTGAATTGAGCTAGACATTGGAAAATGTAATCAAGGTTACTGAAAACAATACTCTTTTCTTCACTATTAATTGTATTCATGTGCGAAGCAGGGAAATTCTATATGTGCCACAAAGATATTTCCTCAATCTATTGAAAGTATTCTGTGCTGTTAAGAAAAGTCTCCAAATCCCCCTCCGCCACAATACACATGTACACTGGTTTGTGTTTACATGGACAGACTTTTCAAAGCAAATAGGCAGACACCAAGGTGATCAGAAAGCAGTGGTTGGGTGGAGGCCAGGGCATTACTGCAGTGAACCAGAGAAGTGAGACTCTATAAACTACAAGAGCTTGTGCAGAGGCACCGCTGCTCACTGCCTGTGACTTATTAAGTTTGGTTTCTTCAAATAGAATTTGAGTAGTCAGGAACTCAGACTGCCTCTACATGGCCGAGTTAAAATTCATGGTGAGGTTATGATCTGGGATTTTTTTTTTTTTTGTACTGGAAATCGAACTCACAACCTCATGCTTGCCAAGCAGGTGCTTATGCCAAGGAGCTATAACTCCGGCCCTGAGGTGGTTATCTGTTATTTCAGAGAACAGTCCTGTCTTGTTTGTCTTCTATGAACTGCAATATTCTACACAACCAAATTATGAAACAAAAATAGTTTCAGAATGGGTTTTAAATTCTTATGAGTGTCTAGCTGACACACCGTACCCACCCATTTTATTTGGTCAATAAAGAATAAAGTACGTTTTATGAATAAAAATATAAAAGATTTGATTAAAAGATATTTGCAGTATTCAAAAGGTACAGATAATATGAGGGAAGGCACAAAATCTGGGCTGATCTTTATTTAAAATTTAGGGCAAATTGATTTCATTCATGAAGTCAGTGAAAATTATAATCAGTATAGAAAAGTTTTAAAGTAGAAACATGGAATATAGAAATTCCTTTCCAGGCATCAACAGCCTAAAATATGGAAATTAAACAAGGCCTGACTGTTCCTTTCAATAAATCAATAGAAATTAGTAGTACAATTATCTTAGCCATCTTGTGTAAATATATATATTTTCTTTCTTTCTTTCTTTCTTTCTTTCTTTCTTTCTTTCTTTCTTGCTTGCTTGCTTGCTTGCTTGCTTGCTTGATTGCTCTATTTCTTTCTTTCTTTTCCCCTTTCCCCCACCCAACAGTTAATGCTTAATTTTTTTGACCACTTTTGTGTGCTTATACCTGGTAATCTGAACAACTAATTTGAAGACGATAATATGCAATATAACAATCATTGTTGAATTCCTATCATCTTTTTCATTTTAAAGAGACTAAAACAATATTAAAATAACAACATAGACAAAAACAAAACAACACCAAAACCATAAAAATTATACAGTATTTCAAAACAGAATGATAGGAATTAACAGTGGTTGTATTTCGTTAAACTCTGTATTATTTCAAATGCTTTTTAAAATTACTTTTTATTCTTTTTAATTGTTTGATCAATCTTGCACTCTTACATCTGGTAATCTGAGCAACTTTATCGAAGATAACAATATTCAATATAGCAACCACTATTAATTCCTATCATCCTGTTTTGAAATTCTGTATAGTTTTTATTGTTTTTGTGTCATTTTGTTTTTGTCTTTGTTGTTATTTTATTGTTTTTTCTCTTTAAAAAAAACAAGGCTTGAAATCTACTTTTTACTACCTAATGATGTGACTAACACATAGCTTATTTTTAAAGAAAGATCTATCTTCTTTTGGCTTTTTCTCTTCTTTTGTTATTTTAGCTAATGTTAACATTCCTTGTGGAAAGTTGGTGCATGGAAATAAACACATTTTAATTCCCTTTTCACCTGTTTTCCCTTCCCTCCCCCGCTCTCCACCTGCCCCTCGGTGCCCTCGCTTGTTTTCCTGGCACGTGTTCGCAGCGTATACTGTGTACACTCTTCACGAGGAACTGGCACACGTACACAGCGCATCCAGAGTCTCTTTTTCATAATCCCTCAACCCTCCCTCCACCTCTTGAGCCACTTTCCCCTGAGAACAATCTCTCTTCCCACTTCCTGTTACCCTCTTTTATTTTGCTCTTTATTTTCTCCGGGTCTCTCACATAAGAAATACAATGTGATATGTGTGAATTATCATATTTTACAGACTGTTCTGTGCAGCTGTATAGTAAAGGCCACACAGTAATTGTCTAAACAGCCCCAATGGATGAAAATTCTGAATAATTCGTATTCACTTCTCTGGGTCATATAATACGACTATCAGATTTTTCAATAGCTTTTCTGACTCCGGAAAGGTTAAGATTTACTCAACTTGATCATTTTGTGGACCTAACGCTGAAAATAGGAATGAGATGTGGATTCTAAAGCTTTTATATTCGAGTCATTTTGCGGGCCCTTACTTTACCTAACGCGGCAGTCCTTCACCTTCCCCATTCCTTCCCTCGTCTGCGCCCCACCCCGGGGCTGCATGGAGAGGAAGCCCCAGGTGCTAGCCCAGTCAGGGCCGTTTCCATGTGCCGCCAGCCCCGGCACACCTGCAGTGTGTCTCCATGTTTGTACATTTCCTACCTGTTTTCTTCCTCGTCCCCTGGCTGAAAGGCAGTGTAAACCGGCATCTTCACCGCCAGCTATGTAACCTCGGCCCACTCTCCTGCACTTCTGAGCCTCAGCTTCCTCACCCGCAGAGCGGAGGAGAGAAAAGTACATCCTCATAGCGGTTTTTGATCAGGCTCCGATGAGTTAACAGAGCTCATTGTCCTTATGCATGAGTGCAATGGCTAAATGTTGGTGCGATTTAGTACGCGAACTGCCAAGTGATCCTAAATTCTAGATTCACGCTTAAGGTTAATTACTACAGTCGATTTTTTAAAAATCCAAACACTTTCAAGTAGTACATTTTAAAGACCTAAAAACAGGCATAATTAGTACTACAGGGCTCTCTTGAAAACCTAGTTGGTCGCCAGTTATTTGGTTGCTTCCTGTTCCATTGTTATTTCATTCTTTAAGTAATGAATGGTCTTGTTGAACGTGCAGGACAGAGAACCTAATGGTGGAACATGTGCTGAGTGGGAAATTCCACATACATGCCACATTATAATAAAATAAATAGCAATCACTTAGATGCATAGAACAAAATGCGTTCTCCTTTAAACCACCAAAAATCTATTGCTTTGTCAAGAGCCTTTGGAATTGAAAATTTTCCAGTTCTGCAGTTATTAATATTACCACAAGCACACAAATTCTCTCTGGAAAAAATGTCTAAGATATAAGGAAACACTGTCCATTTTATTTAACTAGGAACAGTTTGTTAAACATATTTATCAGCTCAGGGTAGAAAAAGTGCCTCATTGTCAGCAAATATAATGTCACCCATGTTTCCACTGAGTTTCAAGTGACTCGGGGATTAATCACACCATTTTCAAATTGTAGCCAGAACATGACATGTAAGAAGTTGTTTTATGCAGAGCAGCTAGATATCTTTTTAAAACATAAATCAGAGTCTGCCTGGCAGTTCTCCTGCAAAACTCTCCTGCGGTGGCTGCCGTTTGCATTTGGGGCCATACCCACGCCCCTCCACTGGACACCCTGGAGAGGTCCCCTGGGTCTTGTTCCCTTGTTTGCTCACATCGTACCCCTTGTTTTTCTCTTCCTGGGGTACAAGTTGCGCTGACTTAGTGACTTTACTGCCACAGGGATGAAATACCCAACAAGCACAACTTAAAGGAGGAGAGATTTATTTGGCTCCCAAACTGTTTAGTTCATGGTTAGCTGGCTCCAAGCTGGGGACGACGGGTACCAAGAAGGTTCCTTCTCTCAGAGCCTGTGTTCGAAGAAAAGACAGGCGCCTCCGTAATCTATTGAGACAGATGGCAGTGAGGGCCCCGTCTGTCTAAGGAGCAAGAGAATGCTGGGGGCGGAGTTTAGGTGCAGTTTGGAGAGTTAGTCAAGCACAAGGGGGAAGGGCTGGGAAATGAGGGGGAGGGGCTGAGACCTGAGGGAAGTGTGCAGCTGGGGAAACTGCACTCCCACAGGGTTACCGTAGTAACTCCTGTCACTATGAATGGCAACAGTGACAGTGATAGCTAGCAGGTATTGGACCTGGCCTCCGTGTCAGCCACCACGCTGTATGTCTTATATACAACATTGGTAACATCCTTGAGAAGTAGATCATTATCAAACCTATTCTGCAGATGGGGGAACTGAGGTCAGGCAGAGAGGAGGTCAACCAACACTATGGTCTGTCTAGAGGGACTCACGTCTCACTGCAGCGCAATGCTCCTTTGCACCTGCCGTGAGTGCTTTATGCTCTCTTAGGCCCTCAGGACACGTTCCGCTGTTCTTAGAGACTCATCTAAGCCAACTCTTCACCCTCGCTCAGGGGAGAAGCTGTGCTACAGGGTTAGAGCATCGTTACCTGATCAACTGTTCTATTAAAAATCTGCAGGCTGAAAAGTGGGTCAGTTGACGTGCAGCTGTCAGCTGTTTGGCCTCAGTGTCCTGGGGTACGGAAGGGTCCCAAGTATAGGACTGGTTTTGTTCTGGATGCCACCAGGACTGGAGCAGTGTGGCTTCCGTCCCTCCCCAGGGCTAAAACCCACGTGTGTGCAGAGTGTCTTAACCCTCCCACTGGGTCTCGCTCAGCCTCCCCGTGCTCATGTCTGCCAGGGCCCACACCTTCTGTCTCCAAGTAGATCAGCCCAATTCAGAACCTTCTGCAAGAAAGGCACTTTCCACAATACTGAGGAAGGTTTGGCTGGAAAATCGTGGAGTTTATGAACCCAGGGACAAAGATCCTCTTACAAAAGAACCAGAAAAGTCTTTTAAAAAGGAAAGCGCTGTTTAATCATTTAGAAGTTCTCAAAGAAACAAAACTTGAAACAACAGACACAGCAAATAATAAACAGCATTGCGTTCGAGGTAAAAATCTCTCTTCTAGTGATTTTTTTTTCATCTTTTAAAATTTTTTCCTCTTCATTTGCAGAATACTTCAATGGAGGAGAACAAAGGCTAAACCCAGTTTCCACCTATGACAGCTAAAAATCAAGGTCAATCCCAGGTGAATGTAAGTCACAACTACGTCCTGAAGTAATGTATTATTTAATAATTTTGTCCAGTTTCTTAGAGATACTTGATGTTTCTGAAAACCCCTGACCAGAGATCCTAGAACTGTGTGTCAGAGACACCTGTGTGTGGGGGTCCCTTCTGGAGGTTCCTGAGACCAAAAGAACTTTCATGATATTGTTACAGTGCTCCTTGCCGAGTCCCCTCCCCCTTCACAAGTGTGCAGGGCATTACACAGAAATCACACGATGTGTGATTTCTAGTGAAATGTGCACTTGGGAATTCTTGCAATTTATGTTTCTCAGTTTTTATTTCCAATATATTAAATATTGGTAGACATAATCCTCATGAGTAAAAAGACTTGTGGAACACAGAGAGGCCTGAAGATTTAGTGTTTGAGATCTGTTTCCCTAGATGATGATTTTGACTTCAAATTATTTCATTTTTCTCATGCCCATTGTTGGTAGTACAGGTAATATGGCCTCAGCCACCACTTTACATAGGCCTTGCTGTCACTCAGCAGATATGTACTGAGTACTTACTATGTGCAAGTCATCACATGAAACAATAGTTCTCATTGTCTTTGATATGATGGTTTGTATCTGGATGTCTGCTGAAAGCCTTATGAGCTCATAGTGGCCCTTTGGAGGTGACTGGATCACAGGTGTGTAAATATGTGTGTGATACTGAATTAGCCCACTGATTGGTTTAGCACAGTTCTAGGGGTGGCTGAATGGATTTACTGGAGAGAAGCTCTATCCTGGGTGTGGGTTGTACCAATAGACTTGTAACCTGGAGGGAGTAAGAAGGGAAAGGGAGGCTCCAGGCTGCTGCTCTGGTGCCTTCCTGCCTGCTATGCCATGAACTGTTTCCCTTATGCCAGGTCCCTCTGCCATGCTGTCCTGCCTTGGAGCCAGCTGATGACGGACTAAAGCCACTACAAACTGTGAGGTAAAATAGACATCTCCTCCTCTAACTTGTGGGTGTTGGGTATCTTTGTTCTGGCAGTAAGAAAGTAACTAAGACAGTTGACAAAGGGAATAAAGGGCTCTTGCCTCCAAACTGCAGACAGTGCTGCCGAGATGGTCTTTCTCTAGCTGATAGTGAGTGCTTGTTCAGCAAGGAAGAGTCTTGCATCTCTCAGAGTATGGGCAGGAAAAGAGAGCTCAAAGTGAGATGTTCCACTGCGATAGTTACATAGTATAATTGTTGATATCTCCACCATTATTCATCTCACTCCAAAAGGAGCATCACAGACTATGGTCAGAGAGGGGAGTTCGCAACATGAGAGCAAGTGTTGTTTGACGCAGTCTGCCCAGAAGGGGCAGCTGATGCTTTTGTTTACCTGGCACCTACTCCTTCATTTTCGTGTTTGAACGTAAACTCTGGATCTAATCAAGGATCGTGTTTTATTCCTTGGATTTGAGAATCTAAGACTTGTATATTGGATCCTACCACAGGACAATGAAGGGAATAGAGGAAAAGACATATGGATAAAGAGGTTCGACTTTCTTATTGTGTCCCTAGCACTTAGTAAGGTCTCCGACACATAGCAGAGGCTCAAAAAAAGGCTGATCAAAAAATGTGCTGTGATGAGAAACCACTTTGAAGATATCAATATGTAATACAACAAGCATTGTTAATTTCCTACCACTTTGTTTGTAACTCTGTATTGTCTGTACTGTTCTTTTGCTATTTTGTAAAAGGTTGTCTGTCTGTTAATGTTTTCCTTTTATTTTTAAAATAAAGAAAAGAAAATATGCGGTATGTTTAAATTAAACATTTATTACTGTAAAGAGACATTACCATTAATCTCCCTCCGAACACACCCTGTCACTTTGAACACACTTATTCTGTCATTCTTCCCTAACCGGTTCTGGACGTCCTCTTTCCACGTTTTTCAGAGGTGTGATAAAAAATGCAGGGAATGCTGATGCCGAGCGTCACCCAGAGGAAAGGCTGGGAAAGACGTCATGATGCGTTCCCACCCACCTTCCTCACTAATCCTGGCACCAAGCAGCTACCGGCTCTTCCCCAAAGTCAAAGTGACCACGACCGACAAACACTGTAAACCAGTTCAGGACATCAAGGCAGCCACAGCAGTGCAATGAAGATGCTCATGAAGAGGACGTCCAGAACGGCCCCAGAACACGGCAACCAGGATGGCACAAGTGTGTTTGCAGCAAGGGGAGCATTTTAAAGGCAATTAATAGCACTGTGTATCTCGCTGTAATACACTGAAACTTTATGACATTTGCCTATTTTTCAATCAGAGCATGTGTTTTTTCTCTCAGCTGACTTTGCAAGTGAATGAAGCATCTCAGATAAAAACAGAGCAAACGTAACCCTTTATTTTGACCAGGCATTAGCTGAAAAAATACCCACTGGCACATTCATCTTTGATAAAGTGCATTTCTTCTTATATTTTCTTCCCTGTATCTTTGCTGATACCTTATGTCACTTTTTCCAGGTTTTAATTTTCACTCCTAGTTCCCTCTTAAAAGGGTCATTGTTTTATATGACACTGGATATACTGAGTGATTCAAAAGCATGCTTTTCTGAAAGTCTCTTTGCTTTTGCATTGCTATGTATAGCTCATCTCAGCTCCTAAATCTTGTGAAAGAAATTTCATGGGTGGCCAACCTATGCCAACATGCATAGTGTGGATCTCAAGCCAAGGAACATGAACCAGAGTGGATTAGGCAAGTGTGTGGGAAGAGGAAGAGTTTTATAAGACAGGATTATATTTAGCAGAATTTGGTATTCAATATACTTGGCTTCTTCACTCAAGGAAAAGTTAACCCAAAGTTAAGATTTCCATCTGAAATCCACACAAATGTTCTAGAATTCCACCTGCATGAGGAGCAGTGAGTCTGATGGTATGTGATGACTCAAGTTAGTAGAAAATGCTCAAGTACTCAGATATCTCTAGAATGCTAAGCTAACAGACTGTAACTTTTAATAGTCAAGTATTGCAAGATGCCTGTTGAGAACACCTTACTTAATCAACCTCTATTCTGCCATATACAATTAAATGAGTTTATTCTCAGAAATTTGAGATCAGGCTTATCTCTGGTTTATACTGGTTTGTGGCCTTGTAGGAACCAGGTTTCACAGCAGGAAATGAGAGAGAGAGAGAGAGAGAAAGAGAGAGAGAGAGAGAGAAAGACAGCAAGAGAGAGAGAGAGGGAGGGAGAGGGTTTCCTCTGTATTCAGTCTTTCTCTATCACTCATAGTACCACTTGAGCTCTGCCTTCAGTCAGATCATTGGTGGCATTACACTCTTATAGGAGCATGGACCCTACCATGAACTGCACATCTGAGGGATCTAGGCTGTGAGCTCCTTATGAGAGTCTAATGCCTGCTGTTCTGGGATGGAGCTGAGGCAGTGATGCTAGTGCTGAGGAGTGGTTGCAGATCCAGGTGAACATCAGCAGAGAGGTTTGACTGCAGAGACCATGAGAAATGAATTACTTGCAGACTCAGATCAAAACCCTATCAGTGAGTGGCAAGTGACAATTAAGCTGCCTCTGGTGGCAAGCTGTAAGTCAGAGTCCAAGACTTATTTTATTTGGTGTGTGACCAGCTCTTTATTTTATTTCTAACTTCTGTTTGTGCCTCTTTCCCATACTCTGCACCTGTCTTTCTCGTAGTTTTGGTAATCCCACAAGCTAAACTTAGCCAAAATGAGTGAAAAAACAGTCACTGGAGAGCTTTTTTGAAAAGGGGGAGAACTCAGTGATGAAAGAGTAGAAGACTTTAAGACTGCTGACAAAAACAAAGTCTCATTTAAAGGAAAATACCGAGAGTTCCACTCAGAGTATGAGTTCATTTAAATAGGTGAGTCATGTTTTCCAGCCCCCCTGGTGTAATGGATGGCAACTTTCAAAACTGCTTCAGCACGTGGAAACCGACAACCTGCGGTAAGAGTCAAGCTACTGGAGTTTTTCCCAGGAAGAAAAGGGATTGATGGCCACCACATCCTCAAATGTATCTGCACTGAGCATCCTCTTTAGTGGCCAGCCATACCATGAATGCTAAGAAGCACTTCACTCTCAGTGAAGGGTTGGTCCTGTCTGCTGCTTAGGACCTTAGTCAGGAATTTTCAGGAAAGGCTTCGGTTCAAAAGGTGGCACATGTTCCTATTACGGCTTGCAGCAAGGTAGGCAGATTGATGAAATAGAGGACACTGAGGCACAACTGCTAGAGAATTAATAAGTGATTGTGGTACTCAACCCAGGCTGATGAATCTACGGATGCTGGCAACAAGGCAACAATGTTTGTCTGTAGTCTATTCTTCAGGAGAGTTTGTAGGAGGATATGTGATGTGCACTTCTGTTGCCGTCCAACACCACAGCAGCAGAACTGCTCAAGTCTTTGAGTGGTTACACATCAGGAAAACTAAGGTGGCCATTTGTGCTGGTATGTGCAGGGATGGAGCAGCTGCCATGACTGGATGGCTTTCTGGTTTCACTACTCGGGTCAGAGAGGTAGCTTCTGAATGTGAGTCTATACACTATGTCATCCACGGAGAAATGCTGGCTGGCTGAGCTTAGTAATTTGTCATCTGAACTTAATGACATTTTGTAGAATGTCATGAAAATTACCAACCACATTAAAGCACAAGCCCTTAGCTCACACACAGCTCTGTGAAAAGGCAGATGCAGAGCACACACACTTGTTAGACAGAGAAGTGAGACAGCTTTCTCAAGGTAGATCCCTTCCAGAGGTTTTAAGTTTTGAGAGCCGCTCCAGAGATTTCTTTTAGAAGTGTGGTCATCACTGGCAGCACATTTCAGTACACAGAGTGGGTTGCGAAGCCACCTTACTCATGTGATATATTCAGTCTTGTCAGTGCATTCAACCTGTATCTTTAGGCATGAGCAACAACTGTGTTCAAGTCAGCAGATAAATTGGATCCATTCCAAGTAAAAATGGAATTATGGGGCAATGAATGACTGGAATTTTTGACATGTTTTAAACATTTGCAAAGATGTTGAAAGAAACTGAGTTGGGGTTTTCTTTCTTCCAACTGGTGTGTGATCACCTGTCTCAGCATTGCAGAGTTTGAGCATTAATTCCCATCCACAAAAGGCCCTCAAACTGAGAAGGAGTGGATCCATGAGCCATTTGCAAATAAGCCGGGTGAGGGGACAGTCTGTGCTAGAAGAGGATCACCTGCCTGAGATGGCAAATGGTGGTGGCCATAGAACTATATTCAAGACAACTTCAAATCTCCACAGGCTCCGGATTAAAGTCAAGGTGGAATATACCGAGACCGTCACTAACAGTGAAAATCTTGCTTCCATTTCCAGCACTCTATCTTTGTGAAGCAGGGTTTTCTGATTGACAGCAGACAAAATAAGATTATGGAGTAGGCTGGACATAAGCAACACACTTCGGGTGCCACTGTCTCCCACCACGCCCAGACAGGACCATCTAGTTGCAGGAAAACAAGCTCAGAGCTCCCGCTGATTCTGCATTATCGGGATTTATACAATTATTTCATTATATGAATGAAATGCAATAGAAATAAAGTTCACAATAAATGTAATGAGCCTGAATCATCTTGAAATCATTCCCCGACCCCAATTTATGGGAAAATTACCTTCTGCAAAGCTGGTCTCTGGTATGAAAAGGTTGGAGCCCGCTGGCAGGAAAAAAAGAAAATCACACATCTACATCTTATAAGCTCAGTAGACCTGACTTTCAGAGGCCCGATTCACACCAACCTTCTATAGAAAAACTAAAATTATGTCGTGTGCCCACCTCAAAAACAATCCCAAGGTCAAGAGGATGAGCACACTTATTGGCCAGACTGTGGTCATGTGCCTGTGCATGTGTATGTGTGTGAGTGTGTGTGTGAGTGTGTGTGTGTGTGTGCATGCATGCAGTGGGTGACAGGGAGTGGGTCTCTGCCCA